TATTGGGAACAGAAATCGAATATAGTAAACTTAGGATTATTTTTGGAAAAGTTTATTCTCAAGAAGTGTAAAACTAGTTCCTATTCCGACCAGAAATCAAAATTTTGAGAATTGGAATGAAAAAAATTGTTCTAAAATCTGAATTTTTGTAGGTATTCTCTTAGAATTTGAAAATTCCATTTTGTAGGTTACATATAACACAATTACATAATAATATTGATATTATAAATGTTATCATCGGACAAAAGTTGAAATTTTCGGGGCGAAAATTAAAATCGGATCGGAAATCGAAAACTAATATATATTGACATTCTGTAAATAAAAAAAATGGAAAAATCAGAATTTTCGGGATTCAGAATGAAAAATCTAGTTCAAAAATCGAAAATTTTCATATCGTAATAAACAAAATTTGAAATCCCCGTTCCAATTTTCAGCTCTAATATTTATTATCAACAAAGATAAAATCTTGGTTCCGCCACTGAACAAAATCATATATTTTTCCTCATTCTCATCGTGCAGAGAGCCAGAGCGATTATTGTGATAGTCCAACAACAGATTCACAAACAGACGAAGTTATAGCAGCTTTAGAAAAAAATGGAATTAATTTCGTTAATTCGGCGACGAGGGCAAAGACGAAGAAGGGAAAGCCTAAGATGGCGATGAGGATAGATATTCCGGCGACAACTCCGACGAGGACGATAGCCGCCGTGACATCAATGCTTTGGGAGGATTTAGTAAATAACCCAAAGAAGGGGGGTGGAGAATATATTAATAGGAAGAAGATTCAGTGTGCTGAAAAGATGATACGAGGGGCATTTGTGGAACTTTACAGAGGACTTGGCTTGCTGAAAACATACAGGTACTATGCTTTATTTATTTAAATTATTTACCTTTTTTTGGAAATTTAGTGGAATCGAATATATAAAATACATAATATAGATTTCTTTAATATTAATATTATAATATAAGTTTTTTTATATAAATTTAAAAAATAAGTGAAATTTATTTTAGAAATTTATAACAATCGAGTCATAAATCAATATTTCTAGTAATTTTATATAATTTTGATTCCGATTTGATCTTTTTATTATTATTTTTGAAGTAAGAATTCAAAATTAGAAAAATAAGTATTTCGAAAAAAAAACTTCCTATAAAAAATCGACGAAACTATGAAATTAGTTCCATTACGATTTCCCCTCTAATGGACGACAGCAACAATTTAAAACGACACGAAATTTGATACATCAAACTCTGTATCAAACATACTTATCAAACGTTGTTCGAGATATTCGACCTAATTTTTGAAATATTTCAAGCTAAATAAAAAGGAAAAAAAATATAATTCTCAAAACTGAATATACATTTGGACAATATGTATATATAAGTGTCACATGATTTGTCACACCCCCTAAAACAGCATGTTTCGTACCGAAAAAGTCGTGCTTTTTTCGACATGCTCTCATGCTAACCAGAAAGTGCGAAAACGGAGAAAACATGATTACGTATGATTTTATGTAAAAAATTAGTTTGTTTTAAATGAAATAAATAGAAAGAATTCTATTTATTTAATGAAATAAATATATATTCAGTTTTCAAGAACTGTCATTTAAGCCTACTTTCAGTTTTTCCATGCATTTTTCTAATGATTTCAGAATATTTTGGCAGCTCACTCAATATGGTGGCCTTCACAAAAATACTCAAGAAATTCGACAAGGTAATTTATATATAATATATTCAAAAGAACTAATACTTATAATAAATTTATTATTTTTCGAGTATTAATTATAATTATTATTGTTTAAATTTGTTGTGGGATTTCGATCAAACAGGTAGCAAACCAAAAGGCATCAACGAGTTACCTCAAAGTAGTGAAGAGATCTAATTTTATTAGCTCCGATAAGGTAAGGATTATATAACACGAAATTACAAAATTAAAATAATAATGTATTATTTAATAATATATAGTTTCTGAATTTTATATGAATTTGACACAAATGAAAAATGTTAGACTCCACTTAACAAATTTTCTAATGTTAGTATCTAATTAATACATAATATTGCATTCAAAGTATTTTGTATATATATAGATATTTATTTATTTATGGGAAGTTTACCGTTTTCGCCCCTTAAGTTTTTTTCAATTTCACATTTGGTCCCTTATGTTCACGAAAAAACACATTTGGTCCCTCATGTTTCAATAATTTGACATTTTTGTCATTTTCATCAATTTATCGTTAGTCCGTCAGTTAGGTAGTGATGAAAACACGTTTTATTCCGTTAGTTTTAACGGAAAATTGATGGAAATGACTAAAAGTGTTGGATTTTTAAAACATGGTGGACCAAATATGTTTTTTGTGAACATTTGGGGACCAAATGTGATATTAAAGAAAACTTGTGTGGTGAAAACCGTATTTTTCTCAGATAAAAATTCACTCGATGTAATCTTTAGCGGATGTAGCATATAAATAACCGTGATCTGCTTTGAGTACATATATTTAATTTGATTAGTACTTGTAGTTAGTATCGATTGATCAACGTATTAGAGATCAGCTGCTTCATTATTCTATACCGAATGAAATACATCGGGTAGATCTTTACCATTTATATATATATATAAAAAAAAAAAAAACACATACACTAGCTTTGGTGTGTACATCAGCATGTAAAAATTTACTCAGTGGAGCATAGAAATAACCTTGATCACATATATTTAATTTGATAAATAAGTGTAGTTAGTGGAGTAATTAAGGGGGTAATTAATTAATTAATGGTGTACTTTGTGTAATGGAAAAGGTGGTAAGACTAATGGATGAAGTGGAGTCCTTATTCACACAGCACTTTGCCGGCAATGACAGGAAAAAGGCTATGAAGTTTTTGAAACCCCAACACAACAAAGATTCTCACATGGTCACTTTTTTTGTTGGTACTATTTTTTTTTAATTATTATTATTATTTTAAATTGAGATTAATTAATTTATTTTATTGTGAAATTTTGGAGATTTAGTGGTAATTTGGTAATTAATTAGTTGTTTTTTTTATGTAATGTTGCAGGTTTATTTACAGGTAGTTTTGTGACATTGTTTAGTGTGTATGCAATATTGGCACATCTAAGTGGAATGTTCTCACCTGGAATAGAAGCTTCTTACATGGAAACTGTCTACCCTGTTTTCAGGTTTATTTTTATTTTATTTTTATTATTTTTTCCCTTAAACAAATCTTTTTTCTCACACTATTGTCATTTTCACTTTTTTTTCCTCATAAGCATGCATTAAAAAAACAAAACACAAAAAAGAATTTTTGTATTATATGTATATAATAACACTAAAGGCTCATTAATAATATGGTAAATTACGGAAAACCCCCTAAACTTAGACAAACTAACGAAAAACACCCACCTATCCATAATACTAAAAAACCCCTCTGACTAACTACAACTACAGACCGAGTTTTCAAATAGAAAATATGTAAAGTCCATTATACCCTTCGGTTTAATACGTGAAAATTAAAAGAAAAAGTCTGAAATATGTAAAGTCTACATCGAGATCTTGAGCAAGGCCATGAATTTTATGAACAACTTCATTAATGTATGATATCTTCGAGAAATTGATGTAGGAGGTAGAATTGACATTTTTGTTGCGAATATTCCCTCGAATCAAGAAGATTTTGTGAAAAGTCACACCATAGGGGGTTTGTGTAAGACATAAACATACTTTAGGGGGATTTTGGTAATTACGAATAGGTGGGGGTGTTTTTCGTTATTTAGTCTAAGCTCAAGGGGGTTTTTGTAATTTACCCTTAATAATAAAAAAAAAAAAATCAAACAAGATTACATACTAACAAAGTTTTAGAATTAGTTTTAATGAAATAAATGTTAGAGAAATATATAATAATAATTAATCTAATTAAAAGTAAACTATGTGCAGCATGTTTGCATTGTTGAGCTTGCACTTGTTCATGTACGGATGCAACTTGTTCATGTGGAAGAGCACAAGAATCAACTACAACTTCATATTCGAGTTCCAATCTTCGACTTCGCTCAAATACAGAGACGCGTTTCTCATATGTACGTGTTTGATGACTTCCGTCGTCGGTGCTATGGTCATCCACCTCATCCTACTATCCACCGGCTTTCCACCTCATCAAGTCGACTTGATTCCCGGGATTCTATTCCTGGTAAATAAATCAAACTCTTTTTTTTTTCTTCTTAATTATTAGGGGAAAAAATCGGAACATAATTTATTTAGATTCTGCCGGTTTAACTATAACAATTTATATTTTCAGTGTTTTGTCGTGCTTTTGATATGTCCATTGAACATCTTCTATCGCCCGACGAGGTTCTCCTTCCTCAGAGTCATACGAAACATAGCTTGCTCTCCGTTTTACAAGGTAACATATGATTCTGTAAACTAGTCTAATACTCCATCTGTTCCATAATAACTGTTTATTTTATAAATAAATTGTGTTATATTATCTGTCACTTTATATTTTCAATAATACATTTTTTTCCTGTTTTGACCTTATTAATTCAAATCTAAGTATTAAATGATCAAGGTTATTTTAGTCTTTTTAATTTTTATTTTTTTCTAAAATCAAGATTTAAACTCTTATTCCAGGTTTTGATGGTTGACTTCTTCATGGCTGACCAACTTACTAGCCAGGTTACTATTCATTTATTTATTCTCATATGACGAAATTACCCTTCTTTCAAATTAACTCATGCCTCATAATTAGAAAATAACACTATTCTTGCACAATTTATTTATTTTATCATCAGATTCCATTGTTGAGGCATATGGAATCAGCGGCGTGCTATTTACCGCCGGAAGTTCAAAACGCACCGTTACGAGACTTGCAAGTCCGGAAAGATGTACCGTGAACTCGCCTACGTTATCTCCTTCGCCCCCTACTATTGGCGTGCCATGCAGGTACATACATTATATATATAAATACATTCGTTTAGCCAAATGACAAAAATACCCTCGGATGAAAGCAAAACACGCTCGTAAAATCCACATTTCAATATTGTTCGATCTCTTCTTCATAGTTAATTCGCTCGCCTTTTCGACTTACATGCAATCTTCGAAATTCTTTTTACACTAGTGCGCGAGGAGATGGTTCGATGAATCCAACGTGGACCATTTGGCTAACCTAGGAAAGTATGTCTCCGCCATGGTGGCAGCTGGCGCTAGGCTAACGTACGCTAGGCAGCCGTCGCAGTTTTGGATGATCGTAGTTTTGGCCACTTCTCTTTTCGCCACCGTTTACCAGTTGTATTGGGATTTCGTTAAAGATTGGGGTCTTTTCAATCCGAAATCGAGAAACCCATGGCTTAGAGACGACCTTATACTCAAAAACCGAGGCATTTACTATGGATCCATCGTGAGTCATTCTTCAATTTTCTCGTAATTTTTTTTTAACAAAAAGAATAAAAATAAACGAGTATGTGTTTGCGTAGGCCTTGAATTTTGTCCTAAGGGTAGTATGGGTGGAGACTGTGATGCGATACAATATCGGGATTTTCGAGTCGCGCTTGATCGATTTTTTGCTTGCTTCGTTGGAGGTCATTCGCCGTGGACATTGGAATTATTATAGGTAAGAATATTAGACAAATATATTCTAATTAAATTCCCAAAGTAGGTAAATTAAATTAATTCAAAAACATAGTACTAAGTATATGATTTTTTTTTGGTGATTGAATAGATTGGAAAATGAGCATTTGAACAATGTTGGGAAGTTTAGGGCAGTGAAAACAGTCCCGTTGCCGTTTCGCGAGACGGACTCCGATGGCTGAAATTACGCTAATGCACCTGTGCATTAGCACGAGGAAGGGCTTGAAGGGAGGGGCATTATAGACTTTTCACCAAGCACGTGCTTGAGGGATTTTGGTGAAGAAGTTTTTGTTTGGAGGAAAAAAAGTTCATTTGATCAACCACTTATTCAGAAGTTAATAACAAAGAAGCTAAGTGAGAGCCACATAAGGTTCCGTATAGCTCGACGACACACGGCTATATGTTTAATTTTGTCGTAAAATTCAACGATTTTCTAACGAAGATCTCGTGCATTATTAATGTATCTTCTACTTCTATATATATTTTTTGGCGAAAATCAATATACCATGCGTAATTATCCAAAACTCCCTCAAATATTCATAATTATCAGCAAACGAAAACTTCACTGATTAATTTACGCCCGACCAAATTTCTTAATAGAAAAATATGTAATGTCTAAATTGCCCTTACACAAATACAAATTAATTGAGGGTTCTCTTTTTGCAAAATTAGCCTCATTTAAGGGGATGTCTCGTAATTTGCCGGTAAAAGAAATGTAAACTGAGTTAAGAAGCAATAAAGAAGCCGGATAAAATAATTATAAATTATATGGTAAATTACAATCACCCCTGAGGTATGATTAATTTACGAAAAAACACCCCTCTTGTTTAGATAATTATATCTACCCCCTCAACTATGCTTTACCTTTTTGGTGTCCAATTCAACACAATCATCTAGATTTCGTGGAATGTGCTCTAATTTGTACTCGTTTTGTGTAAAAATACAGTTTCTGATGCACCACAATCTGATATATACAAGCCAAAAAATACATATTATGATCATCTTGCTTCAAAATGTGGAGTTCGAATGTGATAAAACGAGTACAAAAGTAATAATATTCCATATAATCTCGAAGATTCCACTAAATTAAAAATCGCAAGGGTGGACGTGTAAAAAAAATTATAATTGAGGAGGTTGGTTGTAATTATCCAAACAAGAGGAGGGTTTTCGTAATTTGACCATATCTCAGAAGAGTGGTTGTAATTTACCCTAAATTATATATTCCTCAATGTTGGCGAGACAAGATTAGGGCTGTGCGTTGGTTGGTTTGGTTAAAAACCAGCCATAAAACCAAACCAACCCATCCAACCAACTTAGGTAAATATTGGAAACCGTTATCGACCCAACTAACATGGGTTGGGTGATGGTTGAAAACCAATTTAATGGGTTGGTTGGTGGTTTGGTTGATGGGTCATCCATCTAAATATTTTTTTAATTTTTTTTAATATTTTATTACTTGTTACAACGCTATATCTTTTATAAATTAAATGCGACTAGTTCAATAATATTCTAATAAAAGATTCAAAACATTACGGGCATATATATTACAATTAAACATAAATAGTTCAACAAATAATAAAATTAAAATAGTTCAAATTAGATAATTAGGTTAGATTTATTGCTTTTAGGATTTTGGTCAATATTAAACAATTTAATAAATGTGATATAAAATAAAAATTTGAAATTAACAATACTATATATTTTAATTAAAATTAATAAATAGTTAATTAATGAATGAAGTTGGTCGGCCGATATTAACCGACTAACCAACTTTTTAGCATATTAGAAACCATTATCGACCCAACTATACATGGGTTGGTTGAGATTATCGACCCAACTTAAATGGGTCGGTTAATGGTTGATTAACCATCACAAATTGTGGGTCGAAAATGGGTTGGTTGGTGGTTAAAACCGATCCATGCACAGCCCTAGACAAGATAGCTCGTTGGTCAACATTTCTTCAGTTTTGTAATTTACGTAACGAAACAATTATAAACATGTAAAAATTACCTCTAATCTGTTGTCGTCTCGGTCGTGATACGAGAATGTGCCTCCAAAAGCTCGAGAGAGTTTGAAAAAAAAAGAAAAAAAAGTTTCTTGATCTCTAAAAAAAGTAGTAAAATACACAAATCATTTCAGTTTTTAAAATGTAATATAACTATTCATTGATAAATCTATCCTACCGTAGTTGTTTGTAATATATATATTAAACTAATAAAATATCCTGATGATTTTAAATATATGGACCAAAAAAAAAGCGGCCCATTAAGTGTGATAGTAAGAAGAGAAATAGGGCCCGGCCCAACAATTAACGGCCCGGCCCATCAACCAGAGCAGCTGGATTTTAGGTCAATCATTTATTTATGTTTAAAAATGCTAATTAGGGTTTCCTTCTTCCATTTTCGACCCGAAAAGCTTCTCCGATTGACATAAGCCCCTAACAATGGCACCAAAGGTTTCGAAGGCCGAGAAGAAGATCGCTTACGACAAGAAACTCTGCAATTTGCTCGATGAGTACACCCAGGTATTGGTGGCGGTGGCGGATAACGTGGGCTCCACGCAACTCCAGAACATCCGGAGCGCACTCAGGGGAGATTCGGTTGTTCTGATGGGTAAGAATACTATGATGAAGAGGTCTATCAGAATCCACTCCGACAACACTGGGAACAAGGCTATTCTTGCCCTAATTGATCTCCTTGTTGTAAGTTCCACGTTTTTCTCTCTCTGTTTTCTCACGTTTTTTTTTGTCTTTTTGAATGAATGATTATGGATTAGTGGGGACTAGTCCAGGAATTTGTTTCAGGGTGGGGGGATTTTTTTGGGATTTTTTTTTCTGATAAAATCAGAAAATGGGAAAGGTAAAAAAAGAAAAGAAAATTAGAGGTTTTTTTTTTTTTTTGCATTAGTTTGAATTTTGGGTTGACTGATTAATAAATATTGTGGCTTTTTTTGCATTAATTTGAATTTTGGGCTGACTGATTAATAAATATTGTGGCTTTTTTTGCATTAATTTGAATTTTGGGTTGGTTAATTAATAGAAATGAGGGCTTTTCATCCATTAGTTTGAATTTTGGGTAGGTTAATTACTAAAAATTTGGGGCTTCTTTTGCATTAGTTTGAATTTTGGGTAGGTTAATTATTAAAATTTGGGGCTTTTCTTGCATTCATTTGGATTTTTGGGTGGTTTAATTAATAAAAAATAGGGCTTCTTTTGCATGAATTTGAATTTTGGGTTGGTTAATTAATAAAATTGGGTTTTTTCTTGCACTAATTTGGATTTTGGTTGGGCTAGGTAATAAAAGTTGGGTGGGCTAATGAATAAAAATTGGGGCTTCTTTTGCATTAATTTGAATTTTGGGTAGGTGAATTAATAAAACTGGGTCTTTTCTTGCATTAATTTGGATTTTGGGTGGGCTAAATAGATATATATATATATGTATAATATAGGGTAACAATATCAATTGAGGGGGGCTTGAGTCCAGCGTTGCCCAAGGGTGGACTCGCCCCGGTTATGTATATCGGTAGTATCGATTTGTATTTAGTCATGTAAAATAATAGATCCCGGAGTTGATGACTCGCTCTTACTGTTAATTTTCCAATGATTTTTGACAGGGAAACGTTGGATTAATCTTCACAAAAGGTGACTTGAAGGAAGTCACAGAGGAGGTTGCCAAGTTCAAGGTCGAGTTTTTATTCTTACACATTTTTGACAAGTCTGTATATGTATATATAGTAAAGCTGACTCAGTTATGCGTTAGCTAGTTATGAGGTTCGGTGTAATTGATCGGTGTTAGTGTCTTGGGAATCTGTTTCTTACTGTTATCCAAGAATCTAATTATTTTTGTTATGATGTTTATATACGTTGAATGGCGATACCCATTGTTTAGCTTTCCTAGTTGAATACGTCGTTGCCGATTACTGCCCGCAAATATATCAATCAAATGTAGATTAATTCTTTACACTTGTCAACAAACCTATCTAGTTTATTTTATCTTCTTGTGTTGTAGTATCGGTGTATAACATATTAGCTTTATCGAAACAGGTTGGAGCACCCGCTCGTGTTGGTTTGGTGGCTCCGATTGATGTCATCGTCCCACCTGGAAACACCGGTCTCGATCCGTCGCAAACATCTTTCTTCCAGGTACCTATAGACGACTGTATCACTGCTGTTTTTTTTTTTTGTTTTTGTTTCCTCGTTTTTTTTCTTTCCGTTCTATAACGTGTACGGTAATATCGAATGCTGTATTCGTGTGCAGGTTCTAAATATCCCAACCAAGATTAACAAGGGTACAGTCGAAATCGTCACCCCTGTCGAGCTCATCAAGAAGGGTGACAAAGTGGGTTCTTCTGAAGCTGCACTTCTTTCGAAGCTCGGAATCAGGCCATTCTCTTACGGTCTAGTCGTCCTCAAGGTTTACGACAACGGTTCCGTTTTCAGCCCCGAGGTGCTCGACTTGACCGAAGACGACTTGGTTGGCAAGTTTGCCATGGGTGTTTCTATGGTTACCTCGTTGGCACTAGCCATCTCGTACCCAACCCTAGCTGCTGCACCTCACATGTTCATCAACGCATACAAGAATGTTTTGGCTGTGGCTGTTGCAACCGATTATTCCTTCCCGCTTGCCGATAAAGTGAAGGAGTATCTTGCTGTAAGTATTATTATTACTATTATTCTATTACATTTATTATCTACTGTCTGTTTTTTTTTTTCCGAATTTGTTGTCTGATATTTTGATGGGGTTTATATAAACCAGGACCCGAGCAAGTTTGCTGTTGCAGTCGCTGCCCCATCTGCCGCTGCTGGGTCGGGTGCTGCACCTGCTGCCGCTGCCAAGGAAGAGGAGAAGAAAGAAGAACCTGTCGATGAATCTGATGAGGACCTTGGTTTCAGTCTTTTCGATTAAGTTTAGTTTTGGTTGACGTTAAAAGATTTTGAATACGAAAACTTCTAGGTTTGACTATATGCTGTCGTTGATTTTAGTTTTCAGTTTCCCGACAGCTGTTCAGACCGTATTCCGCAGTTTTTTGTTAGTGATATTATTTCTTTTTTTGCTTATTTTATGCGTATGTTTTTGAGTTTTCGAGTTTTCGATTACCGGGTATAGAAATGGGCGTGAAATGTTTTATTTATGCCTTAGCTTGAAGAGGTTCTATTGAAGTTGAATTTTGTTTATTTCAAAGTTGCTAATAAAAAGTTCGGTAAATAGCACTTGACCTCCCTTTTGTTACAAGCTTTTGCAGATAACTCCTTTTGTGCTCTTAATAATCTCTCAATCATTTTAAATTAAATTAAACAATATATAAATTCTTAATCATCATCACTTCAACTTCTCAGCAATCTTCTTCGAAATACAATAAGCAGTCGCCTGAATGGTGATCATCGGATTCACCCCGACCGCCCCCGGCAAAACACTAGCGTCGCAAACAAACAGACCCTCCGCCTCCCAACTCTCCCCCCACGTATCCACCGCCCCGCACCTCTCGTCAACCCCCATTCTGCAGCTCCCCATCTGATGCGCCGAGCAATACGTCGACCACTTCTCCACCATCGATTTCGGCCCCTCGGGGGCCACCACCCCCTTCAGAAACTCCTCCACCCCCTCGTCGTCGCCCCCCTCACATTTCACCCTCTGCCCGTCGCTCTGGTGGGTCCCGACTTCGACCGCCCCCGCGGCTATAAGTATCCTCAACGCACGAACCAACCCTATTTTCATGTTTTCTTTATCCGAAGAATCGAGCTTGTAGTCGATTCTTCCTTCGGACAAAACCGAACCGCTCCCGTTGTCTTTGATCATCGAAAAGAGATGGCAAGTTCTTGAATATTTGATGATTCGATTCTTTAATTCGATTCCAGATTCAAACGGTAATAAAGCGGCAAAAGAACCCGGTCCAAGAATCGGCGACTCTATAATAGCTCTCACTTTATCTTGTTCCACCACTTTATGCACTGAGGTTATTATGCCACCTTCATAAGCTTTCCCCTCGACAATATCGGGCTCCGGAAAATACCCCCACGCCATTAAAACAGGGTGGAGGTGAAGATTCCGGCCGATATTCCGATTCTTGAGTCCGCTATTGATCAACAACGGCGGTGTCAGAAGTGCACCGCATGCAGATATTGTTACTCTGGCCTCGATTCGGAGGGTGATTTTTATGTCTTGATTTGTGAATTTCGCTATGACACCGTGGCATTTTTTCTTCTTTCTTTGGTTTTTGTTGTTTTGGTTAATAACGAACCGTACGGCCTTAGCTCCTGATATGATAACTGCATCAGAGTTGACTGCATCGACCAGCCAGGTGGTGTCGGTACCTTTCTTGTCGCCCCTGATGCAGCCGTAGCAGCAGGAGCCGCAGTAGTGGCTTTCGGAGGAGTTTCGTGGGACCGGGTCCGCTTTCAGTCCGAGGTTTTCGCAGCCTTGTCGGAGGATTTGATTTTGGAAACCTTCTTTCGTGCACCCGACGGTGACGCCGATTCTGTCGCAGACTTTATCCATGGCGTCGAGGTATTCCGGGCCGGAGAAGAGTGGGAGGTTTTGGCCGTGGGCCCAGTCGTTGATGATGTGGTCGGGGGTTTTGAAGCAGGCGGACCAGTTGACGGCGGAGCCGCCGCCGACGGTGGATCCGGCGAGGAGCATGGTTTTGCCGTCGAGGGTGGAGAGGATTCCGCCGGATTCGTAGAGGCGGTCCAGCGACGGGCCTTCGAGGGAGGAGTAGTCGCCGGCGGTGAAGTAGTCTCCCTTCTCGAGTACGACGACTTTCAGGCCGGCGGCGGCGAGAACTGCGGCGGCGACTCCGCCGCCGCAGCCGGAGCCGACGATGACGGCGTCGCATTTGACCGTGTAGGTGTCTCTGGACGCGGGGTTTAGTGTGGGTTTCAGGCCTTTTCCGGCGAGGGCGGCGGCGAGTGAAGAATCGGTTTCGAGTCTGGTTTCGATTATTCCTTTGTCAAGAGGTCTCTCTTTACTCATCTCTTCCGGCGAGTTCTCTCCGATGACGTCGACTTTGTAGTCCATGGCTTTCCATGCTGGATTGCTTGAATCTTCTCCTACCTGTTGAAAAAAGTTGGGGAAATTACATTTTTTACCCCTCAAGTTTGCATCAATTCCATATTTAGTCCCTCATCTTCCAATAATTTAACACTTTAGGTCATTTCAGTCAATTTACCGTTAGTCCGTTAGTTAAGATAGTGATAGGCACATGCTTCATTCCGTTAGTTTTAACGGAAAATTGACGAAAATGACTAAGTGTTCAATTTTTGCAACTAAATGGACCAAATGTATTTTTGGTGAACATAGGCTGCCAATGTGAAATTGGTGCAAACTTAAGGGACAAAAACTGTATTTTTTCCAATAATTTAACATTTTTTGTCATTTTCGTCAATTTATTGGTAGTCCGTTAGTTAAGGCGGTCATGGGCACACGCTTCATTCGGTTAGTTTTAACTGAAAATTGACAGAAATAACTAAAAGTGTTGAATTTTTTAAACATAAGAGACCAAATGTGTTTTTTGTGAACATAGAGGACTAAACTTGGAATTGGTGCAAACTTGAAGGGTTAAAAATGTATTTTTCGCATATAAAGTTATAAACAAACAATCACACTCAAGATAACATTTGTAAAGTTGTTAATAAATATATAATAAATACAAATTAATAGTAATTATTTGTGTGCCAAATACATGAATTGTTAGGTAATCTGTTTAATCTAATTAATGTTTTTTTTTAGTAATTATTTAATTAATGTTTACTACTAATTAAAGTAATTACATAACTATCTAATCAAGTGCTAGGCCTAATTAAGGGGCACCTAATTAACTTTTAGTGCCTAAGTAATTAAGCCCGGTTGGTTGGTGAAATATTATTTTACAAAAACATCAACGTAATTAATAATTATAATTAATTAATAACAATAATTATAGTGGAAAAGGACAAAAATACCCTTTACACATATTAACAAAGTTATTAAATAATATTTTCTATCCACATAAATTCAAAGGCAAAATTGGTAAATGAAAAAACAAAAATCTGCTTAAAACTCTAAAACAACACATATAATATAAGTAAATATAAATTATGGATTAAGATAAAACAAAAATCCTTTATTGGAATAATTAAAGCAGAGTGATCCAATTTATTAATTTTTTTTAATTTTTTTTTTGAGGAATAAATATTAAGTTTCAAGAAAAATTGAGAATAAATAATCATCTTCAAAAATTAATTATTACCTGTGTGAAGAACACCAAAAGAACCAAGAATTTGAGGAACACAAACGCAAGCCTGACAGGTGTCAGCAGCCAATTCGTGAACCATTTCTGCACAACTTTTTCTCTATTTTCCAGTGGAATTTCAGAGAATTTCTTCAAGAAAGGCCACTTTTTGCTAACGCCAGAACTCCCACATATTAACAGTGTCCCCACCCTTGTTGACAGGATCCTCACAATTGCTATTACCAATATTTTTGCTTCAAAAAAAGCCCTTTTCATTACCAGCTCAGCCACCTGCAAAATAAATAAATAAAATAAAATCCACAAAAATCTAAGGGTAAATTATGAAAAAAAAAATCATGTTTGCATAATTACAAGCACCCTCAATTATATTTTATTTTACCAAAAAATCTCTCCATTTGATAAATTTAGAAGCGTTCTTCCCGTAAAAACTGTACAGAGGTATGCCAAAATTTTATACTATTTAGCGTCTGGTTTGATAAACAACTGAATTACCAAAGTTTTATTTAAAATATTGTTTTTTTTCTTTTTTTGGATTAATTTTATTTTAAATACTAATATTACAAATATATATATATATATAATACAACTGAATACCACAACGAATTAAAGGTTCGGTAATCGGCATGTACGAATTTTGGTTCAGTTCAATTCGATTGGTTTACTGATCAGATGAACACACCTAGATAAATTTAACACTGTAAAGATGAACGTGTAAGATAATCTATAGTTGAGAGGTGCGATTGTAATTATGCAAATAAGAGAGGTTATTTCGTAATTATACCTTACCTGAGAGTGGCCGTAATTTGCCCAAAATATTATTGAGCAAAAAAAATATCATGGATACCTACCTCATCAGGGACTGGATATTGAGAAGCAGAAGCTTTATAGAAGGCCTGTACGACGTCGTTTTGGGGGTTAATGTTTTCATGAGGATTATTTAATGGTGTTGGAGGCAATAAAACTTCACAAATACTTGTGAGTGTTTGTATCTGTGATGAAGAAAAGCCATGGCTGTATTTGGTTTCTCTTCTTCCACCTTTCAGTAATGGATGATGACAATCTCCTCTACCCATAGTTTCTCTCTCTAGATCCTTCTTTCTCTCTCTTCTTTGATTTTTTTTCTTTTCTTTTTATCTTTTGGTGGAAGTTATAATGAGATTGTATTTGCATGAAAGAAAATATCATCTAGGCCTCTTCTTATTTTATAGAGGCTTGAAAAAATAAATTGATTAATTAATAAATTTAATTCTTGATGTCATTTATGTAAATTATAGATATACATGATTATGTAAACTCAACCCCACCCACCCCCCAATCTAGGCCCCCCTCAACTCAACCCCAAATATATGCAAACCCCAAAATAAGTGGGGTTTGACTAACTGCAATTGTATTTACCTTTTAAGTAATCAGTAGCGGAGTCTGAATTTTAAGTTTGCGGATGCTGAATGTATTAAATTAATTTGGAGAGGGTTAATAATGCTAAAGTACATAAAAAGATATAATTTTTTTTATTTTAAAATAGTATGGTTTTGAGAGATGTTGGGGGGTCATGGCCCCCTTGGTTCTATGCTAGCTCAAATACTGTAAGAGGCGATGGTTATTTTTGTGCTAGGGTGGATTGGTCAACGACTGTTGATTTACACGCATCAATATTAGTGTATGTGCTTGTGTATTATGAATGGTAAAGATATGACGGGCGTATTTCATTGTGAACTTTATTATAAGAAAAGTAATTAGCTAAAAGACAGAATCTATATGGTTAGTTAATGGATCCTGTGAATGTATACGTAAACGAATCAAATCGAATTGAATGCGCAAACTTATTTGAATTTTTATCCATCTTTTAAAAGTTTTGTTTGAGTTTGTTTTAATACCCAATTGAATCGAGATTTAATTTGATGAGACGAGCACAGAACGAGCTCCACTAGCTTTATATTTGTACAATTTTTATATATATCATATATTTCTTCAAAATTCAGGTCAAATGACAAAAATACCCCACATAGGAATTTTAGGAGAGACCCTTACGTTTTGAGCCTTCCCCGTCCGTCCTTCGGAACATACTACAGTAGAACCTCATTTAAACAATATATTTTCGAGGTCCCGATTCGAAAGCAATGTGCTAAAACATATTTCGTTAAACTAATACAAAATTAATTTATAAATATTTAACTATAGTACAAATTACATCGTTCATTTAATTCTGATAGTTCATCAAGTTGTTTCGTGACCTGTCAATTTTGTGGGCCTTGAAATGTAATTTACATGATATGTAATTGTCATGAAATTAACATATATGTTAAAAAGAAAATTAAATGAAATTTGCAAATAAAATAAGCCAAGCAAAAAAACAAAAGAAAAATCTTCATCATTGTGTAATGTGTATCACGTTTATTATCTCTTCTTTATTCTTTTTTCTTTTTCTTTTTCTTTTTTTTTTTGTTTTTTGAGAAGAAGGTTCACTTGGCTTGTCCAATGCATTTTATTTTCTGTAATATCTAATGATATATTTTAAATATAGATTTTCGTCCTTCCAATCTCGTAAATATGGAATTTGGTCCCCTTCATTTTTCTTCCCATACTCTTATGTAAATTTATATATTATTTTTCATATTTGTCATTACATGTAAAATATATTTAAATCTATAAGAATTTATTTGTTTTTGTAATTTTTTTTTATGAATATCTCTGGAAAAAGAAATCTTGGTTGGTTTCCAAAAATTTTAACTTACCTATCTATCATTGTATCTTTGGAGATGAATATACATTTTATCTATAAATGCATCTCTTTCAGAAGTCTGAGTTTGTTGTACGTATTAATTCTATAATTTATTGCAGCCATATACTATCAAACAAACTTTTCATCAAAAGCATTGGGAGCGACTAGTGCGGGCTGGTGCCACCCGACGGTTTCGGCCGGACTCTCCTAAGGTGGTCAAACGTCTCGCCATCTAATTAGAATTAGTGACGCTCATGAATGGATTAATTAACGAGATTTCCACTGGTCATGTCTACAATTCGATCGCCCTTTGTTGGGGTAAATAGAGAGCAAACGTCTCGTACCCACTCACTCAAATTTTCCGCATTCGAGAAATCGAGCAAGCTGCAGTGCGCCAAATAAATCACAGTAATATTCATAAGAATATTGTGGTATGCCTTCATTTATCTACTTGCAATTTGCTCAGGTCAATTTATTCATATTAATTGTGTAGTGTAGGTAAAAATTATAACGTCCAAATTTGTTAGAGACAACTTGCCAAATAGTAGTAACACTTTACCTACAAATCTAGTAGGTGTGTATGATTTTTACATAAATAAAATAAAATAAAATAAAAATATTTCAACAACTTGTTCATAAGTCTTTGATAGAGATTATTATTTATTAGGGTAAATTACAACCACTCCTGAGGTATGATTAAATTATGAAAACCCCCTCTTGTTTGGATAATTACAACCACCCCCTCAACTCTTTAAATTTAGTGAAATCTTCGAGATTATATGGAATATTGTCACTTTTGTACCCGTTTTATCCATTTGAACTCTACTTTTTGAAGTAAGATGATCATATTATTTGTTTTTTTGGCGTGTATATATCAGATCGTGGGGGCATCAGAAACTGTATTTTTATACAAAACGAGTACAAACTAGAGCACATTCCGCGAAATCTAGATGATTACGTTGAATTTGACACCATAAGGGTGGAGGTGTAATAAAAAATCATAGTTGAGGGGTAGATGTAATTATCCAAACAAGAGGGGTTTTTTTTGTAAATTGACCATATCTCTGGGTGTGTTTGTAATTTACCCTATTTATTAGGAACAACTTGCCAAATAGTAGCAACACTTTAGCTATAAATCTAGAAGGTGTGTATGATTTTTACATAAGTTATAAAAATAAAAATAAAATAAAAAAAATAAAAAAAAATTCAACAACTTGTTCATAAGTCTTTGATAGGAGTTATAAGCTGATGTTGAGAAGTCATATGACTTTCCCTTTCCTATATATTTAGGGGCGTTTGTTTGACAGTTCTTTTCGGCATTATTTTGTATGTGTTATTTGTCACGTATACTCCTTAAGTTCCCTTTTATATGACATTTTTAGCATTGTACATAGATTAAGGTGGTGTTTGTAAAAGTTTTTTTTAAAGTGATTATGAGCTTTTTTTTGCTCATAATCTGTTTTCAAGTGTTTGCAAAATCAACTTTTATTTTTGCTTTTCTTAAAATAATCTTCTTTAAGTTATTTTTTTAAAAGCACCCATAACCCTGTTTTTTCTATTTAAGTTCATTTTCCGGAATATTTGCAAACACCTCCAACTTTTAGAAATAAGCACTTAAAACTGACTTAACTCATAATCACTAACTTCTGCTTTTAAATAATCACTTGCAAACACCACCTAAAAGTATAATTCATTTTTAGAAAAATATATGTTTTTTTTTACTAAAATGCCCTTATATTCATTAATTTATTCCCAATACTTATCCCACTAATCTCTCTCATCCCATTAATTAGGTGGGGCCCACCAATTGTTATACACATTTCTTGTTTCTTTTTTTAACATAACTGCATAATCGTATTTCCTTTTCCTTTTTCTTCTTTTATGTGAAAGAAACTAATTTCATTAAACAATAAACAAATGAAGATAATCATTTGAGAGACGTAATTGATGTAGATTTTATTATTTAATCACTTACACAAATAAATGACAAAGTCCAAAAAAAAACTACTTTTATAGCTTAAAAACATTGACAATTTATAATTTTCTTCTCACCCTGCTTTTTTTTTTTCCTTTTTATTTGTTTGGTGGTAGTTGTCGAGATAATTTAATCATCATTAACAGGAAATTAATAAATTGTCACGTCAAGTGGCTTTATTTCAAATACTAATTAAATGCATTTGCATGAGAAAAATATCTTTGTAAAGCTGCGGCATGCGGCTCATAACTACCCAAGGTTGAAGGCATTAAAATTAAAATATGCATCGTTATAAAATACATCCGACACTGACACGGAAACAGTGATACGGGAAGCTCGGAGAAAATAAACATTAAAATTATAAGGGTGTATTTATAAATATAATATATAAACCTATATAGTTTTTTTATGTATAAATAAATTATTTTATATATTTTTCATACAAATTTATACTATCAACTATCAATTTCCAATTGATCATTAAACCGTGTAAATAATTATGGAAGCAACAAAAATATTTGAAAATTTGTTATTCAAACATGAAGCAACAAAAATATTTGAAAATTTGTTATTCAAACATTTTTATAACTTTTTATATATTGCGAAAATAACCCATAAAGTGTCCAGCAGATGTACTCGAGTGTCCGAAACGATACGCGTCCGAAATGTACGAATATAATTTATTATTTTAAAGGAAAAATAATATTTTATTAGCAAAAGGACCCCATCATTCAATCTTCTTTTACACACAACCCCCTAAACAGGTTTACTAAATTCTAAAAGAAATCACAAGGGGACTTTTGCTAATAAAATAAGATAAAACAGTTTTTCAGCAATTCGATATAACACAAGGGTATTAGTTGCAACGAACTCCCAACGAAAACGATTAATCCAAGAAAATTTAATGCCACACAATCCGTCGAGAATGCCTATTTTGTTCTAGAAAAGATCAACCGAAATTCGAAAAACATTTTTTTTTCGATATCCATAAGAACAAGAAACTTACATGAGCCAAATTTGAACTTAAGACAAGAACACAAAACATTTTTCCAAAGGTCCTAAAAACAGCATTTCAGACACTAAACCAAGAAAACAAATTTAGCAGAGCTGTAAAACACTAAGCAATAAGTTACTGCATACCTAAATGTGTGTGTATATATATATATACACACACATACTATAATAAGTACCTCCAGCAAGCGGGCCCGTCTCTAGATACGATTAGAACCCTCGAATCCAAATAATCAAACGAAGGAGAACACACATCATCCAATCCAATAGCTTCTATCGCCTCATTCTTCAAAGAATCGAAAACGAATAAACCGATGCCACATACTCCCATCACAAGATCCGAATTTCCCCACACTTGTGTCACTGATGTGGATTTATTACGAGCGTCCGATTCTGGCAAAGAATATGTGGCTAAAAGGCTCTGTTTCCTCAATGAGAAGTGATGTATTTGTGACGAAGACTGATTTTTTAGAGAGGAACTTGAATAATTATTGCATCCGATGTATATAGAGTCGCCGCGAGAGAAAACCGATTGTGCGTTTATATTGTGTTTGGGTATTTTGAGACCGATACCGGATGGTTGTCTGAAATCAAGCACGTTGATTGAATCCGGTGTGCAGAAAACACCGTCGTTTCCTTCGGCTTCCGATGAACTAACTCTGTAGAGAATTAAATATGTGTGAATTAGGATTGTAATGTGTGTTGATACGATTTACTCGGAACAAACTGAGGATTTAGACATATTTATGTCCCGAAGTCGGAAGGATTGGATCGGAATTACTACTTTCGGTAAAATTCTATGTTTTCGGAAGTGCAAAACTAATTCAAATTCCATTCCAACATAAATTTGGAAAAATCGGAAGTTGGAGTTTGGAATAAAAAAATTGTTCCATAATTGGAAATTTTTGGATCGAAATCGGTGCAATTCGAAAACTTTCATGTTTTTGGTTACTTGTAACACAAAATACATAATAATATTGATATCAAAAAGTGTAATCCGAAGAAGAAAAAAAAAGGAATTTTCTGAAATTAAAATCGAATCGCAAATTGGAATCTAACATATATTCCCCAAGTCTTTCCAGAAAACATTGGAAAAATCGGAAATTGGAACGAAAAATTTCTTCCCAAATCAAAAAAATTGGATCGCAGAATTAACATACTTCAATTTTTCGGTAACCTATAATTAAAAAATACACAATCATATTGATCTAATGATGTGTAATTTTCAAAAAGAAAAAAAAAAAGAATTTTCAACAATATTTTCGGAAATTAGAATTGGGTCGGAACTCGGAATCTAATATGTATTCCAATTCATTTCCAAAAACAATCAGAATTCAAACCGAAAAATATTGTTCTATACTCGGAAGTTATCGGATCACAATCACAGAATTCGGAATTTCCCGTTCGAATTTCCACCCCTACATACATATATCATAAAAGAGAAATCGTATATTTTTTTAGAATAAGTGAAGACATAATTGGGTTACCTCTGTCGAACACCTCCACCTAGTTCGGCATCAGTGTTGTTCACATGAAGAGCCGATATTTTCTGACCAGACGAAGAAACAGACAACAACGCCTTCGAAGTGAGAGAATTCACATCCCACACAGAAACACCATCCACCTCAGCCACCACCACTTTTCCTCTGTTCCTCCATTGCAAAGGGCTCGAACAATCCATTGCCGAAACGGGCTTTTGCAGCTCCCATTTCATTACACGCTCGCCATCTCGAATATCGTAAATATGGACACTTCTCTGACAGCTGGCGGTCGATGTAATAAGCGGCCCACAGGGTGTGTACCACCTCAGAGGATTTTTTCCATGATGCATGGTGTTGTTGGATAAGGATGCGAAAGCTGTTCTTCTTACACGGGCATTCGTTGCATCCTCGAAATTGAAAGCTTTAACATCTTTCGTGTAGAAATCCCACGAACAGAAACCTGATTCGACGGAATTATTTCCGGCTGATGCTGCCACTACGTATTTTCCCGAGCACCCATCTGCACTAGGGGCGCGTATTATCCAACAATCTCTCCATATGTTCGGTGAGACGACACCTGGCGGCTTGTATTCAGCCTTCTCCTGTAATAACAACAGAAAAAAAAAAATCGATCTTTTTTCACTTAACCAAATATATATAAAGTGCAACTTACACGAACCAATTTGAGAAAACAATAACATATACCTCAGAGTTAGTAATATCATAGAAAGAACAAGAACCATCACCATGCGCAAGAAGAACCGATTCGCCTTCCGACACAAACCACCCTCCAGTTGATGACTTCGATCCGATAACATTCAACTGATACGTACAGTTGTCTTCTTCATCAGTCTCAAGCATCACAGCTGGCACTTTTTCTTGATAATCATCAAACTCGTTCAAGTTTTCGTCGGCAAATAGCAAAGATTCAAGATCACATTTGGCATTCGGCGCATTCAGAGAAGAGCCCGCTACAGAAGTTACCTCTTCACCAACATTTGTTTCCTTATTACTCGAAAAAGCCACGATTTCTAAATTCATTGCATTTTTTGATTCTTCATATGCTGTTTTCGATAGCGACCGATCTCTAATCAACTTATGATGAGGAAACAACCTCGCTTCTAGTTCCTCGTCATTCAGACCTTTAATCGAACACTTTGCGTCCATCGTGTTCTCTTCTAGGCTCTTCTCCTCATTTTCACATTTGGCGGACCCCACATCGGTACCCATTGCCTTCTCGATACCCGAAATGTTTTCCTGAATATCGCACAATATTATCGTGGAAGAATCCGGGTTGCTGATATCCAATATCTCTTTAGTCCTCTTTATATCGGAGGCTATCCTCTTCACTTTCCCTTCTAAAAACGCAAGCTTTTCGTGTAGCTTACTGGGGTACTTGTTAACACCATTCTCTCTGAGAGAAGTACTCGCATTTCTCACCATCTTCGACTTTCGTTCCTCTGAGGCTTTAACTCTGTTGCCGTCAACACGATTGGATTCCTTTGAATTACTCGAAACCTTGTTCTCTAACACCGTATTTTTTACAGAGATTGAACTCAGACTCCCAATTTTTTTCCTAACACCACCATTTTGCATAAATTTAGCCCCAATTTTCTCGTTTGATTCCGAGTTTCGATCCAATTTATCCAAGGCTACCCTAGTTTTTACAATATCTTTTGAAACCCTAGAGCTCCTTGCATCGGTTTTTTCGTTCGAACGAGAAGTACTAACTTTTATCTGCGATGGGCCCATCGAAACCCTAGATTCCTTCCTCAACTCTGAAAAAACCCTAGTAAAATCAGAGGGGCTAGAGCTCCTACCTCTGGGCACCGATGAAGTGGACTTCCTGACACCGGCGGATTTGTCGATCCGAGCCATGGGAGGGATGCTGGGCTTTTGAGTGGCGGCTCGTAACCGAGAAGTGGGCCTCGGATTCTCCTTCCCCGTGGGGGCGGACTTGCCGGAGAGCGGCGTGGTTTTTGCCGCCGCAGCGGCGGCGGCGATTTTCTCCCCTCCGCTGCCGCGTTCTCTCACGCGCCGGGCTGATGTTGTGGACATTTTGTGCGACAAAAATGGAAGATAGTTTTTTTTCTCAGTTTTGTTGATCTCCTAGGATTTATTACAGTGAGAAAATTGCGGTGGTGGGTGGTGATGAACTTCGTAATTCACCCTTCAGATTCTTTATTTTTGGTAATTAATTACTACTCTTCTGATTCCTTGTGCACAGGCGCGGGAAAATGATTTTTTTCTTCGGATTTTGAAATTTTCAAACGATGAAGAAATCGTTACCAAAGGGAATCGAATTTGGGTCAACCAACTCAACGT